TGGTTATGGTTATGGCTAAAATTGTGAATACTTTAAGCGCTGCCTTAAATTATGAAAGTATTCTATAAAGTAGACTCTACTATGAGTACTTAATAATAAGTATTTTATAATCAGCTAATTTTTAATCTATAGGTATTTAAAGTACTTTCTAGATTTTTAAACTGAAACAGGAATATGATACATTTACAGCTTGAAACTTAAAAAACTTTTTTACGCTATAAATTACAAAATTTGAGATACTGGGATTTTAAGTGATATTAATTAAGACAAGAAAATAGGAAGAATAATTTATTATTGACTTTGCTTGCCTACAGGACCTGACATTTATTAGAACCGCATAAGCATAGAATAAAATATGTAAATAATATTTATCTTTATAAGAAAACGTACGTCACTAAACCTTCTTGTGTGTCATACTTAATAACAATAACATTTCTTACTCTTACTTGTATAGTAATGTGTAAATATTAATCTAAAAAGACATATGAAATAAAATTTGATCGTAAGTATTCATTCAGCAATTTTGGACCTTCATTCATGTAGAGGAATACAATGAATATTCGATTTATTCTACCCTTTGATGTAATCTGGAAATCAGAAATCTTGTAATACACACTTTAAAAACTAATTATGATGGAGGTCACTTAAGCAAATATTTTGTTTACCAAAGAATGGCTCAAATGTTAAAAAGCTCTAATGAAACGATAATTATTTTGTGTAATAGACACGGACACTATAAGATACTATACACTTTTGAATCCAGTTTGTAAAGATTTTTAATATTTGTGTTATTTTTTGTAGAAGGGTAACAAACTATTGACCTCAGCCCATAAAAAATATTCGTATTTGTTGAAAATGAACTTTGAAATCATTAAATAATGAAAGATTCTTTCGACCTCGCTGATTTCTTATGTAGATGTGTTAAAAATGATTATCCATCAATCAGAAGTAAGAAGCTGGGAAAGCCCAGACATTAATGATAGGAGGCTCTAACGAAATCTGTTTATAATGAAGTTTGCCAACCTTTAAATTACGGCTATTTTACTTGTGCCACGATTTAAGTATCATACAGGGCGGTGCTAAATATTTCCAAGTCCTAATATTTTCAGAGCGACGTTAGTAGCTTCGTTTTGGTATACACTTTTTTCCGAAAATGGGAAATAGGAGACCTTCCTTGTTAAAGGGAATGCAGATTAGGTCCATTACCATATTTTAAAAGTCTTTTGAGATATTTTATTAATATTTTAAAGTTAACTTAAAACATTTGGGCACTAATTTAAGTAAAAAAATCGGGGTGAGTGAAAGCAATAAAGGTTCGGAGTGAATCAATTGAATGAAATTATTGAGCACATTTTCACTTAATATTGTGCGTTTTGATCATTTTACTCATTTGTAATTGTTTTTAAACTAAAACTGAGTATTTTTACTCAAATATAAGTACTGTTAAATAAATTCTTCACGTAAACTCGTATTTGGTGCACTTGTACCTAAATCAGAGTAAATGTCCTCATTACTGAGTGAGTTTAAATGTATATTAACTTCGAGTAATTTGAATGGCGCCGTGAAGATGGCACCACTTACATATTGCTTCTGTAATCTCGACCTCAGTTGATACGGATAGGGATGCTCCAGAAATGCGTGATCGCCAAGAGAACAGGCCTTAGCCGGCGGTGGCAGCGGGTCTCAGTTGGCGGGTCTGAGCCAGGACAGGAGGAGGCCCCGCGAAGTTAATTAATTTGAACACCGTCTAGCCTAATTAATCATTTGAGATAGTTAATTAAAAACCAAATCTGAGTAAAAAATGACTCAAAAATAGTTAAATTTAAATCATATTAGAGAAAAAGTCAACTCTAAATTGGTTTTATATACTCAGAATAGAGTCTTAAAGTCGCTCAATTGGTAGTTAGCAGTAATTCGGATTTGAGTAAAACTCACTCACTTCTGATGCAATAGTTTCTCTCAGTTGTACTCATACTAATAGAGTGGAAATTTCACTCAACCGGGTGCGACAGAAATTGATACATTATTGAGTAAAAGTGAATGAAATTCGAGTGAAATTTTTTTACAATGTATTTTTCAAATCCCGCATTGCTAAGGAATGGTTTTGGAAGGTATTTGTTTGATCCCCAACTTTTTTAAATTACTTCATTCTAATTTTGTTTCTTTTAAGGGTTTAATAATATGACATATGACATAGTATTTGTAACATAACAATACATTTCTCAGCATCGATCACTTATTTATTCACAGATTTCGGTATTTTACAAAAACAACCTCATAAATATATAAATATCCCGGAAACGGTTCGACTTATGTAGGTTAAACAAGTGCATCTCTGTCCTTATTAGCTTTTATTATTTTTTTAGAAAAGAAAAAAATAAAAAAGTTAAAAAAGCCAAAGGAGCAACAGTTTATGTTGTGTTGTGTATTTATGTGTTTGCCATTACCTTTAAATGAGTATATCTTCTTTATCATTCCTTTTCGACTATAAGTTTACATAAAAATGCACCCTTACCCAAAAATATCGGGAGACAACTTAGGACCACCTTCAATATCTACAAACATTTTAATACACTTATAGAAATATAATTTCATTCGGTATTCGCTTTAGCGCTAAATTTTAATGTAATGCATAAAATTTGACATAAGCTGCACTTGAAGACTGACTTGAATACATATGCATACTAATGTATGCTTGGATGACTACATTCTAATTGTTATTTTATTTTTTGAGTGGGAGTGTTAGTAACAATATATAGTTATAAAAATTAAAACTCATTGGCGTAAGGGTTTAGTCTAATTTTCTGTTCATTTATTATATCCAGTCTGGTATGTGCAGGGGCTTATTGTAAAAGCTGCCTTAATTTAGTTTAGCTAATAAATTTGTAAAAAAAATATAGCAAAGAAAATGTGTATAGATAAATTTAAAAACAAAATAAATTGTATCATTAAATTTATTCTGAATATTAGGATAATTAAGTTCATTTTTATAGATCTTGTACTATTAACTTTTGTCCAAACTTTTTATGGAGAATTGACACAATTTTTTTTCTGTGACAAAGAACCGCCTACTAGTAATATTGACTCATTGATTTCAGTTAATATTTGAGAACATACATACATAGAAAGCATCGTGATTTCTTTAACATCTGTTTGAAAAAATATATTTGAAGATTATATTAAGTCATGTATCGATTTTACACCAATTGCTTAATGGAAAGTTTGTGGTAGTAATTTCAACTTCAACACGAAGATATGATGTTTATTCAAGACACACCTTTTATAAAAGTAACGTTCTTGTGAGACTCAGATCATTGATATCGTACATCCCATTTGTGGTTAATACTTACCGTATTCAAATGCAAGAATTGCAGTTTCATTGCTGAGCTATATAATAGAGAGTAAGATAATTTATATGCTGGCAGTAGACTGAAATACAGGGTGATTCACAATTTATCCAAAAAAATTTGGGAATAGATGCGGCATGAGAAATGGAGTCAATATTGTAAAAAAAAATTTTGTAAAATCCTCATAGTTTCTGAGAAAAAAATTATTGAAGTTATAGCACATTAAACCACTACATAGCTGGACAACTGTAGTCTCTAGCATTATTCGCCACGTGGCCTCATCGACTCCGAATACTGAATTCGGATTATGCAATCGTCGTTGCGATATTTACCTGTTATCTGTGGTTTTTATAATACGTTTTTAGTAGTTGGTGTTAAAAATGGGTAGTTAGTGTCAAAAATGGTTTGCGTGTACTCGGAGTTGATGGATATCGTTTTAATTTATGGTGAAGCGTTTGTGTTATGGTGAAACAAGACATCATTTGTGTTAGTGTGGACCAGTTTCCGGTGCCGTGCAGTAGTGTATTTTTAAATCAATTTCGAACTGACCTTTTTGATTTTTTCTTTACAAAATTGTATTTGTAAGGGTCCCCTGTACATCCAAAAAATTGATGGAACCAGTTATAACCAAAATAAATTCTCTGAGCCTTCAAAAATATATTCAGACGTATTCCAATAAGCATGTAACTCTCACTCAGTTTTAATATGATGCATCAGTATTCTAATAACAAATTATAAATTATTGCTCTTATTAGCTATTCGTACGTGATGTGGCAATATTATATGAAAATATATATAAGTACACAAGAGAATATGAAGTACATTTCCTCTATTTCTCAGTAGTTGTATACCATATATCATATATCATATACCTTTTATAAAATATTTATAAGCAACGTCCTTCTGAAGTGGACAAAAAACGTAGTGAACTATCTACAGAAAAATTCCACGGATGTGCTTGTTTGTAATAGCGACCTTAAAGGAGTTCGAATATTTCCACCAGACTGGATACGATGAAACTGTCGTTTGCTTAATTTCATATTGGTTACTCTAAAGTCATGGTCTTTTACATTTCTAATTAAAGTTGATTTAATTTTTTTTTTCTATCAAATTGACAATATGATTACTGTTTGTAATTATTAGGCCCGGTACTTTGAGTCTTGGTTAAAGCTTGATTAACTGATTAGACTGTACTGATTAGACTGATTTATTTTATAATAGTATAATCACAGTCTAATCGCCTGATTAGTTAATCAAGCCTTAACCGAGATAAAGTATCGGGCCTTAGTCTAACATGATAATGATAACATAGATAACATATTTGGCAGTGTTAGAGGTGTTTGGAGTTAAGGTAAATCAAGATGCTGAATAAAAGGAATGTCTTCAAAGCATGTTTTTATTTTAAAAATGTATTGCATATTTTCTTTATTTTCAACTATTTTCTTTGTGGCATCAGTAATATACCTAGGTACCTATATAAATTTAAATTTAAGTTTAATATATGTAAATAGCTTTGAATGTTTTCACTTGTGGATTGACTACTTTTCTTGGTATAATGCTGTAAAATTATCACCTTGTAAAAACCTGTTGCAATTATATACTTAGTTAAGAAATGTTATTCTTTAAAATTACTTAATAATAACTCTGTTTCAGATAAATAATGACCCAAGTCGTCAAATATATACTGGATGGATACCATGACCTCATGGACAACAAAAGCGGTGAGTATCACATATTTTGACATATCAGTTTGCTCATGGTGTTTATTATGTTCATTGTTGCATATAGAGAACTAAATTCACACTTGCCAGTCAGAAAAAGCTGTTACTTGTGACATAGTGAAGAAGAAATATATTTTTTATTATTAACCCTCAAAGGCCTTGGGGTGGGCCAGCTTAAAAGTCACACTAGTGCGAATTGGGATTTTGCCTCTTTTGAACCTTTGTCTTCTTTATTTGTTAATGAAAATATGTTTTCGTTTTGATATAAATACGTTATGACGTAAACTGGAGTAAAATTTTCCGAGAAATCGAATGATGTAATTAGGTTTGAAAAAAAATTGTTAATTAAAAATGCGATTGAAAAAATGTTTTAATTATTTTTTAAATTCGTATATTTTTTTTATAAATAATGGCTAGAGAAAAAGTAAAAAAAGATTTTGAAGTTGAAAATCTACCTATATTTTTTAGAAAAAAAAAATATATTGATAAAATGATACAGATATTAGGTTTTTTTTAGGTTATGATTTTGGGCTCCTTTTCTGTAAATTGATGTTTGTTTTGTATAGAAATAATTAATTTAAACAATATTATTAATAAATAATGACAAATACAAGTTACAATTAAACTACTAATGAAAAAAATATTTGAAAAATGATTAATGATATATAAAGAAACAATGTTCTAGTCTAAAAAAATCGGAAATTCTTCTAGATTAGGTTATAAAAGGAATTATCGTGGTGGGGGAATCCTCGGCAGCAGCTACCTGAGAAATGCCAGCTGTTAAAAAAAAAACGGTGGTGTGAAATCGCACTAGTGTGTCCTTTGAAGGTTAAAGAAAATAAAAACTGGCAATGAGAATGGGCGATATTTTGGGCGCTAGGAATTTCAAAGTACCTGCACCAAGTCATTGTAGTTAGTGTTATAATTAACAAAAGTGGCTCAGTTTTGGTATAAGCAATATATGTTTTTTTATGAAAAATAATTCGATATTATTAAGATTAGAAAAAAAAAATAGGAACTTCTGGCCTCATTACCACTAACAGCTTTGTGTTTCAATATTTAAGGCGACTGCAAATTTCAATATAGATATGTTATAAAAATTGCTAATTCACAAATTTTAAAGCACTAGGAAAGCTTGGGCAATTCATCTATCACCCAGTGAGAATATGATGGTTTAAAAATCGTTTTGGTTGATATAACGTTATAGTATAATATATATATCTAAACGTACCTACGAGTATAAGAAACGATAAGTGCATAGTAATGTAAATGTTACAATTAAACGTTATAAAAAAAGGAAAAATGTAACAAAACAACATCATTATAGTTAAAGTATAGGGAAGTGAAGAAATATTAAACTAACCCATTTTATAAATGCACGTAGTTGCAAACTGTGAAGATGTCAGAAGCTTCAAATTGGAGTTATTCTAGTAGTGAAAAACCGTAAAATAACGTAGAAATTCTAGTTAAAAATAGCGTAGATTAGTGGGTCATTTCAATGGTTATTCAACTGATGGTTAAGATGTCAATAAACGTTATTTTAATGTTCGTGTTCTAGCTGGATATATTTTTTTATATTATTTTAAGGTTTATCATCAAACAATTCTTTGGATATTAAATACAATATTCATTTGAGCTCTGAAGGTAGGATGCGCAATGGCAACCTAGTGGAGTGAAGAGACTATACGTTCAGTAGTGCACTCTCTTTTTGATTTATGTATTTCTGGGTTCAAGTGAAGTTTGTATAAATACTGAACATTCTTCAATAGTTCTGAATATTTAACGACAATTAATACTTTAAGATTATTTTATCTTTGCAGATCCGAGGGTAAACGACTGGTTCTTAATGAGTTCCCCATTTCCCACTTTGGCGATATGTCTCACATACGTTTATATCGTAAAAGTTCTAGGTCCGAAGCTTATGGAGAATAGGAAGCCGTGTGAATTAAAGAATGTGCTAATAGTGTATAATTTATTCCAAGTAATATTTAGCACGTGGCTATTTTATGAGGTAAGTTACTAGAAGTCAAGATCGTAGGTCATTCAAGTAATGAAGGCAATGTTTGTAATTCAAATGTTACTTGGAAATATGTTTAATAAAAGATGGAAATCGTTTAAGGATATAACATATTCCTAAGTAATTTGTCCATTTATATTTGATCCTACATTTCTTTCAGAGTTGTGTAGCTGGATGGTTAAACCATTACAGTTTTAAATGCCAGCCAGTAGACTATTCCACAACCCCCTTAGCAATGAGGGTAAGTTTCACAGCATAGTAGTAGAATATCTCTACAGGGTGTTTATTAATTGAATGCCGATACTTAAGGATGTGAATCCTTGGGTCATTTTAAGAAGGAAACTTAATATCAACATATGTCCTAAACCTCTTAATTTTTGAGCTACAGGGTGTTACAGTTTTAAGAAAAAATTTACTTTTTTATTATAATTTTCTTATCACTCCAGATATTTTTATGAAATTTTGTACACACCTATTAATCATTAAGGAGCATTGTTTGATGTAAAAAATGTTTTAAAATCTTTGCCAATGACGTCCGTACGAGGTTTGAACTAAACATTTTTGAAGAAAAAAATGGTACGCCACTGCTTTTTCTAAAAACTAAAATTATTTTTAAAATCTCCATTTATTTTACAGCAAATTCGGTCCCTAGACTTACTCTCGTACGACGCACCATTTGCACGTAAAAAAATGAAAACCAAAAAAAGTTTTTTCCCCAAGTTCATTGAGACTGCTTTTGATATTTTGTTGCCATTTTGTAGACACCCACCATGCGTGGAAACACTTTTTGTGGGGCAAAAATTAATTTTCTACTTTCACAAATGACGTTCACGTAGGCATAATATTAAATGTTTGGATAGAAAAAACGGTAAGCTCATTAAATGCCCCCTTAAAGCAAATGAAATAAAAATTAGTAGGCTGGGTAAAGTGTCATAATGTATTTATTATGTATTTACAGTAGTTGTTGAAAGTGTCCTCCACCCACACGTATGCAAGCATCTACTCTTCTTCGCATAGACTGACGTACATTTTCAAAAATTCCTGGGGTGTCTCTTATGGTTTGGCAGCATACTATTATACGATTTCGTAACTCTTCTTCGGTTTGAATCGGCACTGCGTACACTAAGCTTTTCAGATGACCCCAGAAAAAGTAGTCTAAACTATTAAGGTCGGGAGATCTGGGCGGCCATGACTGCGTTCCTCCGCGGCCTATCCACCGATCGCGATAGTTGTGATTTAAAAATTCACGCACCCGTAAGCTAAAATGTGGAGGCGCACCATCGTGCATTAGCCACATCTGGTTTCTTAATAAAAGAGGAAGGTCTTCAAGCATTGGCGGCAGATCTTCTTCAAGAAAGTGTAAATACGATTGTCCATCTAATCTTCTTGGGAGAAAAAATGGGCCTATCAAATAATCGTCAATAATACCAGCCCAAACATTTATTGAAAACTGTTCTTGATGATTTGATTCAACAATTGCAAAAGGGTTTTCATCCGCCCACAAATGGTTATTATGGAAATTTCGTATTGAGTTTCGAGAAAAACTAGCTTCATCGGTAAAAAGAATGTACCTGTCAAATAACGGATTTTCCAGCAGCTTTTGAAGAAACCACTCACAGAAATTAATGCGCAACGGGAAATCTCTAGGGAGTAATGCCTGGACTCTTTCAATGTGATATGGATATAACAAATTTTCGATAAGAATTTTCCAAACAAGTACGTGTGAAACATTAAATGTTGCCGCGATTTTCCTCGTGCTAGTTTCGGGGTTCTCCTCAATTTCATGTAAAATTCCTTCTTCAAGTTCCGGTGTTCTTACTGTTTCAGGGACTCCTTTAGCACTGTGGTCTACTTTTAAATTTCCGGTTTCGTGAAGACGTCTATGAATCCCAGAAAATGTTCTCGGATCGGGTAGTACGCGATTTGGATACCGCTCTTGGTATATCCTCCTGGCTTCGTATGCATTTCCGTCGGCAACCCCATAAGTAAAATGCATGTCAGCTAATTCACCGATTGTAAAATTTACCATTTTTTATGAGATTTTACCTCCTACTCTAATAATTTTTTAATAATGAAAAATCAATGTCAACTTTATTGCGAAAAGAAGCGTAAAAAATTATGGCACTTTACCCAGCCTACTAATTTTTATTTCATTTGCTTTAAGGGGGCATTTAATGAGCTTACCGTTTTTTCTATCCAAACATTTAATATTATGCCTACGTGAACGTCATTTGTGAAAGTAGAAAATTAATTTTTGCCCCACAAAAAGTGTTTCCACGCATGGTGGGTGTCTACAAAATGGCAACAAAATATCAAAAGCAGTCTCAATGAACTTGGGGAAAAAACTTTTTTTGGTTTTCATTTTTTTACGTGCAAATGGTGCGTCGTACGAGAGTAAGTCTAGGGACCGAATTTGCTGTAAAATAAATGGAGATTTTAAAAATAATTTTAGTTTTTAGAAAAAGCAGTGGCGTACCATTTTTTTCTTCAAAAATGTTTAGTTCAAACCTCGTACGGACGTCATTGGCAAAGATTTTAAAACATTTTTTACATCAAACAATGCTCCTTAATGATTAATAGGTGTGTACAAAATTTCATAAAAATATCTGGAGTGATAAGAAAATTATAATAAAAAAGTAAATTTTTTCTTAAAACTGTAACACCCTGTAGCTCAAAAAATAAGAGGTTTAGGACATATGTTGATATTAAGTTTTCTTTTTAAAATGACCCAAGGATTCACACCCTTAAGTATCGGCATTCAATTAATAAACACCCTGTATAAAAACCGCATTTTTGTTGACATGAATACCTATATTGAAACTTCATATTCTGAGTATTTTGGAAAAAGGTACTGTGTAAACTGAGGGGCCAATATAATAAATAAATAAGACGAGTTTTCCATATCATCTCCTGTTTTTTGAAATATAGTGTAATAGCTTGAAATCAAATTTTAAGCCATATCTTTTCCAAAAACCAATGTAATGCGTTGAAATTAGGTACTGGTAATTTTTTGAGGATTTTCCTGCTAGAGGTCGCTAGCAAAGTGATATATTTTTACAGCTTTTTTGAGATTAGGTGTATGTCATATACTATAATGTAAAATTCCATTCCTAAAAGATTAAGGTCTTATTCTAAATAATTGTGTTGACACATGACTTGGAAAACCCTCAGTTCGTTAGTGCACAAGCATAATTAATTATCTCCGATACGTATAGCGGTTTTCAAAACGTACATACGAATGGATAGATTTAAAGATAATAATAATATACTTTTTTACGTCGCGAATTATGTCCGCAGTTAAAATATATTATTAAGATTCAGCTTGTCTATAACGTCACCAACAAGAGTAAAGTACTTTGTACATATATTTTCAATATTCACGTGACAAAAGAATTCTGCGAATTCTAGCAAACCCGTAAATAGAATAATTTTCTATTAACAATTACTGTGGCTTGCGTATAAGGAGACATAATTAAGTGGTTTATTGTCTTTCAGATGGCCAGAGGTTGTTGGTGGTATTACTTTTCCAAGTTTACGGAATTTTTTGACACGGTAAGTATCATAGTGATTTACCGCAACATATTTTCCATTGTTTTTTCCTGTGCAATATGAGGAGTGCAATTAAATAGCATTAAAATAAATTATATTCTATGACATCTAGAAGATTATATACTATGAGACAAGATACAAACAATATCGTTAATGTCAAACCTTGCACCGCAATAAATAAATAAATAAAAATTAATAGTTGTATTAAAAATCACTAATAAATTAGCAATAGTATTTCCGTAATTGCAAGATATACATATTCAAATAAACTCAAAAATATTCTGTTTTCATTCAAAGTACAATAAATTTGAATTTCAATTAAACTGTTATACGAGGTCTGTTAGGAAAATAACCGATTATTATATTTTTTAAATTTATTATTAATTTTATACATTATTGGTTCTTATCTTCCACAAAGTAAGTACTCCCGTCCTCTATTCACACACTTTTCCCAGAGGTATTTCCATTTCGCGAAGTAGTTCTGGATAGCTTAATTTAAAATCGCCTATAAAGCCTGTGACGAATTTGTTTTGATGTCATCAATAGTCTGAAAACGGCATCTTTTCAGCACTGATTTTAATTTCGAAAATAAGAAACAATCGCAAGGAGCCAGGTTTTTCTTGCAGATTTTTTCACGTAACCGTTGTAAAGTGCATTGATTGTACACATGGTTCACTGTTTCACATTGAGGCAAGAATTCAAAATGCACAATTCCACAGTCTAAAAAAACAGTGAGCATCACTTTGATATTGGATCGAGACTGACGTGCTTTCTTGGGACGCGAAGATCCTTTGCCAATCCATTGTGATGATTGAACTTTTGTTTCAATGTCGTAGCTTTCCTCTCTCGTTATGATCATTTAAATGAATGTTTCATTGTCATTTGATTGTTCAAGGAGTTGCCGATAAACTTCCACACGATTTTCTTTTGTTGTTCGGCATCAAACGAGGAATCAATTTTGCTGCAACTCGAAACATGTTCAATTTTTCAGTCGAAATTTCATGGCATGACCTATTTGAAATGCCAACCTCTTCTGAAATTTCTCTGACAATCAGCGATTTGCACGCACTAGGTCTTTGAATTTCTGAACGTGGGAGTCGTCAGATGGAATCGAAGGCCTTCTTGGTCGAGGATCATCTTCAATTGACTGACGACCACTTTTAAATCACGAAAACATCTCCGTAAGCTCGTTTCAAAAGTTGGAACGTTTCCGTGAGAGTTTTCTCTAGTTTCATGCAAAATTCCAGAAACTCGCACATTTCAAAAGTTATCACTAACACTTAAACACTTTGCACTCAAATAACAATACCACAAAAATTAAATGAGACATCAATAATCCAAGAGTATGTGGTTACAGAGAGGTTCTGCGCAATGCAATGCTCACTAAAAATCACTAAATATTTCCATTAGCGTGTAATTAAAAAGTTTGTTTATAATCTGAACAGACCTCTTATTACTATTTGGAAACTGATTCATGATATTAATGCCTTCAGATTTGTTTCTTCAATAATAGCTTTATTTGATCTTTCTTTTACGATAACTTTTGAAATAATCTTTTCAAACAATTTAAGTCAAGTCAGAAATATTTATTGCGCATAGTTACAATGGCAATATGCATACCTATACACAAAAGGACTAAACACACTAGATAACTGATGATTAGCCTACCCCTTAGAAAGTCAGTTAACTCACACATAATAACAAGTTACATATTAAAAACAATATAATTATAAAGAGCTATTACAACAATAACAAATTATATAACAACAATAACAAATAACTTATAAATATACATACACTCATACAAGCCTATGCAAATACACATACAAATACATAGTATACTCAGACACACTCATACACATACGCATATTATATTAAAACAACTAAAAAACTAAAAAAATAAAAAACTAGGAAACAGCAGCATTTGTGGAGTTATCGTTTTCCATGACCAACTCACGAATGCGTTTCTTAATAAGAGGTGCATTACGGAATGTTAAGTCCTGAGGCACCAGTACATTATTTAATGCCGTAGCTGCTAAATGACTAAATGAACATCTGAAATAGTCAGTTCGATGACGATTATTTGCAAATCATGTAAATTACGAAGCTGACGATCATGTACACGTTATTTACAAAAACACAAAAATGAACAAAGCGTCTTTCACAGAGTCTAAATTTATCAAACTGTCAAATAAAATTAGTAACATGGTGAAGAAAGGATATATATATATGTGACAAAACGCACCAATTTTGAATTTTTTGCAGCTTAAATTTATCAGCAAGTGTAAGTAAAGGACCATAAACATAATCACAATAATTTAGATGAGTCAAAACTAAGGAATTATTTTATTTATCAGAGCTCAAATAGCGTTTTAAAGGCGCTATTTGCTTAAAGGCTATGAACGCATTGTTACATAACACACTAACATGTTGTGAGAATTTCAGGTCATTTTCAAATACATGACCCAGATTATTTACTGAACTACAGCTTTCCAAATGACAATTGTCAATATAAACAGCAAAATCCCCCAACTGTCTAGTTTTTTAAGTACCGATAACCAGGTTTGTACGCTTACTTGGGTTAAGTGTTAGATCAGTTTTATCGCATAACTCCTTAATCCGATGCAAGTCAGAATTTATAAGATCAACAGCAGTTTGTTTATTCTCGATTTCGAAGCTGTACACAATTTATAAATCATCTGCATACTGCAAATAGTGTGCACTACTGACAAAATCCGCGGTACATATACTAAAAAGAAAGGCCCCAGGACAGAGCCTTGTGGCACTCCAGATATTATTATTCTAGGTTCAGAAAATAAAAGACCGTGTTCAGTTTTAATTTTAGTAAGTTGCATTCTGTCTTTAATTTAGGAATCAAACCAATCATGACATTTATTATGAATTCCATAGAAAAATAGTTTGGCCAATAACAGGCAGCTGAAATCTATTGAGTCAAATGCTTTTGACATATCTAAAAGCGTGAGGCTTAATACCCTATGGCACGTCGATGACCCGTAAAGCATCATCAACCACAGCCGCAAGTACCGTTCCTGTACTAATTTTTTTACGAAATCCTGATTAGTTAGAAGGTAGAACATTATTAGAATTGAAGTGAGTGATGAGCTGATTATAAATAACTCGTTCCGGTATTTTAAGGGAAACTGACAACAAACTAATAGGTCTTAAATCTGCAAAATCTTTAGCATGCGATTTCTTAGGTATAGGGGTAACAATTGATGTTTTCCATTGATACGGAACAACTCCAGTTTCAAAATCATAATTAATTATTATATGTGTAAGAGGAAAAGTAATCACAGGCGTACATATTTGTAACATACTACCGGAAATACCATCAAAACGTATTAGGCGGGTTTTGTTTATAAATCAAACTTTCAATTAAATTAACAGAAACAGGTAAATATTTTATATTTATCGATACATTTTCCTATTTCGATCGTTTGCATATAAATTTTTGTACACATCGGGCATTGATTTAGTTTAGCTTATCCTTTTCGACCTAAAAAGAAAATTTTATCTCAAACCATCAACATACAATTCATTCCAGTGTCTACTACTTTGTTTTTTAAACTTCGCTTTCTTGATTTGAATGAACGATGAATTTTCTAAGTAAATTACACGTATACCTGATGTAACATTTACGGCAAGTATTGTAACGACAGAAGAAATCCAGAACGGCTGCTTTAGAAAAGTAAAAAATAGTGTGCTTGACTCAAAATCAAAAGAAAATTTGAAATCGTTAATAAGATGCATACATTTTTTAAAACGATGTTTAATGATGGAAATAAAGAAAACGCTGTTACAGTTTCAGGGAAATATTTAAAATAATAATAATAAAAGATAAAATCAATTTGAGACTTTGCATATATCTGAAATGCAACATTATTCTTATGGAAATGCAACTATGTAGAACACTTATAGCTGTTTTACATTGACAATTTATTGATGAATTAATTCATGAAGTCGCTTCATCAAGAAATTGGACAAGTGTAATGCACCAAATCTGCTGTCGAATAAGTTCATGAATTTATTCATCAAGTTCTTGACGAATTAGAACATGCTCTAATTTTCGTCAATTTCTTCGTGAAGTTCAGAAGTACCAACCCAACAGATTTCCAGCTACAGATCAGTAATGAGGTTATGTTATTAATATGTAAATAATTGTGTGGCATCGTACTAGTTTTGCATTGATTTTACTGATTTGTTACTTACAAAAACTAATGTTTATATAATATGTGTCAAAATGGTACCGCTGTTGTATCACTACAATTATGAGTGGAAATGTGACATTTTTGAAATTTATTTGCTTTTTTGATTCATTGGTAGAACTGATTCATGCGTCAAAAAACTTGACAAAGTCTGTAGCAGTGTAAAACCACACTGTTTACCAATAAATTCGTGAATTAATTCATGAAGAACTTCGTGAATTTATTCATGAATAAATTGTCAATGTAAAACAGCTATTAGCAATTAAGTATGAAATGTGTTAGCTATTGTATTATTCAGCACAAATATTGTAAATGTATATTTTTTCATAATAAGTACTTTATTTATTGCCTCTATTCTTCTAGATTGCTTCAGGCAACTATATGAAATATGTAGACAAAGGGAAAAATTTCGGTTTATTATGTGATACAGAAAGTAATTCTGATGCTACGTAGTACTTGCCATACAGGGTGTTCTAAAAGTCCGTCAGGAAACTCCGGGAGGTGATTCTACGGATTAAAATAATAGCAGTATGTGATGAAATTTTTCTTCGAATTGTTAATTGTTTGCAAGTTATAGCTTGTCAAATTTCATTTTTTTTATTTTTCTATTTAAATAACTTATTGAATTCAAGTTCGAATAGTCTCTCATTTGGCACATCCACTAAGTAAATGAAGCTCTATTGGACCAGTCAGAGAAAAGTTTCATTATCCGCCGCTAGAGGGCACTTTACCCAGGACTCAAAATTTGTTTTGGTCATAACCTCTTTCTCTTGCTAGACATCACAGAAATGTGAACATTATTGAAAAAAGAAACAATATCAAAAAAATTATGTACTCTTTATTCAAGCCGATAAATGTAACCGTTTACCAGGAAATTCCTATTAATGTGCAATTAAACATAAAATTTTGATAATTCTTTCTGTAATTAATCAAGTTGCCATGCTTCAAATAAATGTCATTAGTAATTTTGTTGTTACGAATTGTAACAAAAATTGTTTAAAGCAAGATATGAGTTCACAATAACTTTTTCCGCTCTGTAATAGCATTGTGGAAAAATAAGATGAGGATAATGAATTTACTAACAATATTTTATTTACTAACAAAGCTGGTTTTACAAAAGAAGGTATTACAGCATGGCAACTTGATTAATTGCCGAAAGAATTATCAAAAATTTGATGTTTAATAACACTTTAATAGCGACTTCCTGCTAAACGGTTAAATTTATCGGCTTGAATAAGGAGTACATAATTTTTTGTAAATTAATATTGTTTCTCTTTTCAATAATGTTTAAATTTCTGAGACGTCTAGCAAGAGAAAAAAGTTATGAACAAGACGAATTTTGAATTCTAGGTAAAGTGCTCTCTAGCAGCGCATAATGAGACTTTCCTCTAACTGGTTCAATAGAGATTCATCTACTTAGTGGGTGTGCCAAATGAGAGACAAATCGAACTTGAACTAAATAAGTTATTTAAATAGAAAAATTACAAAAATTGAACTTTGACAAGCTGTAACTTGCAAACAATTGACAATTCGAAAATTTTTTTTATCACATAATCCTATTATTTTAACCCGTAGAATCACCTCCTGGAGTTTCCTGACGAACTTTCAGAACGCCCTGTATATTAATTAACTAATTATTTTTCAAACATCGTTTTATGTTTGTAGTTCTTCTTTGTTCTCCGAAAGAAAAACAACCACGTGTCAACCCTTCACGTCATCCACCATGGTGTCATGCCCATGTCGGTCTGGTTTGGAGTAAAATTCACACCAGGCGGTCATTCCAGCTTTTTCGGGTTTTTGAATACCTTTGTTCACATTATTATGTACAGCTACTACCTTCTTGCCGCCCTTGGGCCACAGTACCAGAAGTACCTTTGGTGGAAAAAATACTTGACTACAATCCAAATGGTAAGTAAATTATTTTATTTGTTATTTTTCCTATTTGAAAAAGTTTTCAGTTGTGTTAAGGTAACATTATAGAAATTAAAGAGTATTGCAATAAATAATTATTGAAAATTAGAATTGTTGTAGATGTAATTAAAATTTGAATGAAACTTCTGACGTAAAATAAATTTTAGTAAACAGTCAGTTTGAAGAACAGATCTGATGATACTATCAGAAATAAAACAATAAATCTCGATCAATTGTTTGAGACATTACAAACAGGGGAAATATTTTACTTTCAGATTCAATTTGTGCTGGTTATGGTTCACGCATTCCAACTGCTTTTCATCGATTGCAACTATCCCAAAGCCTTCGTTTGGTGGATCGGAATGCATGCTGTCATGTTCTACTTCCTCTTTTCCAAATTCTATAAACAAACATACTCCAAGAGGGAGAGGAAAGATAAAACAGCAGTAAGTACTTAATTGTTTTTAAATATTTTTCCTTTATATTAGCGTATAACATAGGTTTTCTAGGAGAAATTTAATAAATAAAGTTAATAACTCACATATGTATCCTTATTACTTCAATTTATTCTAAATATTTTAATATGAAAATAGACCACTAAAGTAAAGTAAATGTACATATATTTAAAGAAGATTCTTCGGGTGAAGATATCCCAAAATGTATACAGGTACTTGATACAAAAAATTCGAGTACAGATAGATGAGGTCAAAATAATATCAGTTCTTCATATAAATTTTTTCCATACGGGCCTTCGTTAAGAAGTTAAGGGTCCCCAAAATTGAAAATTAACTTCAGCATGATGCAAATTTGGTGATCGATAACACATGCGTACAGCTTGTTTTTGATGTAGTAAATGAAACTTCATTGTGCCCAGAACGCCAGGGACGGACTATGCCCAATGGTTAACAACCCAGAATTTTTGCATAGATGATAATCGAAATCTGCCTGTGTCAAAAATAAGTTCCCTGAAGAATTTGTCAATGATAATACCCTCTTGGTTCAACTCGGCAAAATTAACAGTTTAGGAAATATTTGTGATTTTATGTAACACTGCACTCGAGCGGCACCTCCACCATTTTTTGTTTTTAATTTTTAATTGCACTTAATTACTATGCTAGAAGAGTACATATTTTTAAAACAAGATCCTAGAAAATCTTACCGTGTGCTAATGTAATTTTTACTAACAAAATTTGACAAACACATTTTACACATAAAAATAAGGTAAAAATTAATTTAAAAGAAAGAAAACTGTGAACATCCATTTTCAATGTGGGCACCATCCACCTCCACACACTTCCTAAGACTACGAATGTTATTTGTTCGTACATGAAAAAGCATTTCTGTGGTAATAATTTAATAGGTCCATACGTTTTTGAGGAACGTCTGAATGGACATCGATGTTTGAAGTTTTTGCAAAATAATTTACTGCCACTATTAGATGATGTTCCATTAGACACCGAAGAAATGTTTGGTTCATGCACAATGGGGCTCCTCCTCATTTCAATCTTGATGTACGAAATTATGTATCCATTTTGTTAATAATAATAATAAATGGAATGGGAGAGGAGGCGCAATTTCATGGCTACTACCTTCGCCAGACTTTAACCCGATGACTTCTTACGTGGGAATACTTGAAAAGTTTAGTGTACGCAACTCCAGTACACAGACAAGGCATGAATTGCTACAAGGAATTAATTTCCATTGTAATAATATTAGACCTACTTCAGAAATGCTTTTTCGGGTACGAACAAATAACATTCGTAGACTTAGAAAGTATGTGTAGGTGAAAAGTGCCCATATTGAAAATGTATTTTGATAGTCTTCCTTCTTTAAAATTATTTTTTTAACTTACTTTAACATATTCTTGTTTTGTTTTTCTTATTTCGTGTTAAGTGTAAAGTGTATTTGTCAAATTTTGTTAGTGAAAATTACACTAGCACACAGTAAGATTCTCTAGGCACTTGCTTTAAAAATATGTACGCTTCTAATATTGTAATTAAGTGCAATTAAAAATTTTATGAAAATGGTGGAGGCGCCGCGCGAATGTACTGCTGTGACATAAAATCTCAAATATTTCCTAAACTGTTAATTTTACCGAGTTGAACCAAGAGTTTAATCAAGTACCGGGACATCCTGTATATAAACATTTGTCTAGAAATACATCGTTTGTGACAGGCCTTCAAACTGTATTAAAACACTTAATAAACACATAAACTGGTAAAATTTTTGTTTTTAATATATTTTGAATTAAATTGCTTAGTAATGATTGCGCTCTTTTTGTTTTACAATAGAGACTTTTAAAATAATTTTAATTAATAGGTTAATATAAAGGAATAGCTAATAACTAATAATCAATAATAAATACATAAAAAAAGTAGTGTTACCTGTGTATGGAATCTTACGGCGACATGTCAAGAACCAAAGTTAACCTTAAACTTTTTTTATTTATTCATAGTACAAAAATGTGGAACTATGTTTACACAATTTTTTTTTTTTAGTTTGTGATTATTGTTCTTATACTATTTTCAAATTTATTAAGATTTAGTTATATCTTTGTTCTAAACTATTAATTAAAATTCTTTTGAAAGACTAGATATATTATTACATTAATCGTAAATATAACCCATTATGCAATTTAATTATTATTATTATGCAATAATCTTTCGTAAATACTTTAATAAAGTATACAAGTTATTTAGCAGTCAATTAGAAAAACTTAAAATTTAAATTCCGGCCATCAAAAAAAAAGTCTTGGAGTAATGGCCATATGATATTTTGTAAAGTATCTCATGATTAAAGCGGAATGATGAAACTTGAGCTACATATTATTTAAAAAATTTAAAAATCTACGAATTCGGACAAAATGCATGTACCAGTGGCGGTGTTACCGGGAGTCATTTTCATTGAAAAAATCAGAAATTGGTGCCACTAAATATTTTGAAAATTGAATACTTACTTGTATAGTCTTTCCGAAGTCAGTTGAACATGTATGAAAACGTCTAGCAATAAAATTTAGTGAGTTTCATAGGTGTTCCTAAAAAATTTTTCTACTAAAGGTAAAAAATTATAATTATTTTTATATAATTATTTTATGTTCATTTGACCAATATATTTTAATTATTTATGTCGTCAAACAATGTTATTATATTGATGGTAAATTTCGTTTTCTTTCGTTTCAAAAGGTTTCCAAAATGCCATGTTGTGACAATATTAGTAAACAAAATATCCCTCTTATGTGTTCCTTTCGCAATTGTAATATGAATGATTAATACAAGGTGCCTATAATAAATGAAAATTACCTGAATCACATCAAATTCCGCATTGCTGCACTGCACTGCTAGGCCATTTGTTGACAACCGAATTTATGGCCAAGTGGCCCAGTGGGGCTATGTATGTGCCGCGTTTGCCCGCGCGCTCATTCTTCAACTGCGCGACTAGACCTGTATATGGGTATAGTTAAATAAAAATGGAAACAAGTTTTTCAAATATTTCAATGTCGAGTTGCTGCGTCAGCGATCGAACCTGGTACATACTGCCAACCTCTTGGTTCTTCAATTGAGATCGGAAAGACTATATATAACTCCTAGTAATGGTTTCCAGAAAAAATATAATTTTTATTTTATCCGATTTATATTTGGCATTTTTTGCTTTTTTATTTTACTAATTATTTTCACTAAATTGAAAAAAAGGAAATTTTACATAAATAACCCTTTGCCAAAGGATCAGTATTTCTTTAAAAAAAAATTGAAGGATAAAGGTCTTAGGTATGCGTATATCTGGAAATAAATGTTTTTCCAAAAAGTAATATTTTTTTCTATTGCAGGCCCATTTGAATGGAAAACCGCAGACCAACGGACGCTCGAAAATAGGAATTTGTTTCACAACGCAAACGGCGTTGTACGAGCACTCCGATGACGTGAAGACAATGACAAATGGGTACACCTCCTCAGAGGCCTCAAACACATTGCGAAACAGAGCGTACATAGACAGCAGTGCCAAGTCATAATCGTTAATTTGTACCTAAGTAGGATTAATTTATATTGTAAAAAATATCGCCTTGGTGTTCATCACATCTAATGAAGCGATTACATCTTCAGTACAATCACTTTTGGTATTGGGACGAAGAATATTTCTTCGATTTGAAGAACTGCTCAAAATCGTAATGTATAACTGCAGAGTTTTCAAATGAAAATTAAAAGCAGTTTGTGCCAACCTTGTAGATTTGCTCGATATCGTATCATGTTAATGTAATAGTCTGCCAAAGAAATAAAGTATATACGGTGCGGGCAAAATCCAGTAGTATTTGTTTTAATACTTATGCAGATGCAGTAACTGAATTTTTAGTAAATGTTATCTAGTTTGAAATTCTAATACCCACTCACTAACACATATTATCAGGAATTTATGAAATATATCCAACTGATAATTTTTCCAAGAATCAAAGCTTTTATACGCAAATATTAGGTACCATAGGTAAAGATCTATTCAATTAAGAGTTTAGAAAAATATTAAAAAGAATATAATTTTTTATATTTACAGTGATGATGTATTTTACTTTTTAATAACTGATATACAACAGCAGTTTTCAATTTGTTCTTTGATGTTATATTTCTGTTAATACATACAAGGCAGCTCGCTATGAAAATCTCATAAACAGCAAGCGATACAAAACTAGTTAAATAACAAAACACTCTTAAATGATGCCTTTACTTTTTTTGTAGACTGACCACTAGGCTTAAATTTTTTTAATGACTGTGTAATTATTCTAGATACAAGCATCGACTGGTACTATTATAACATGAGCCATAAAAATGGTTTATAAAATTACGAAAATGAGTATGATATCCATAGAAAAAGATGTTCACCATCGTCTACCAAAATCCAAACGGTTTAGAAAAATTTTAATGGTACCAGGCGAGGAAAGATAAAAATTTAAAGGTTATATGTATTTTATTTTGCTGTTTCCTATGTTCCATGGTGAGCACCTTTAAGTGAGTCACAATGTATAGATAACTGGCTAAAACAATATCTGCATAAGTGGAAGTTATTATAAGTATATATCGGAATATGTCATAAAATCGTTATTAAAGTAAGTGCACATAATATGTTGAAGCACGGATATGTATGCAACATTTTGGATTGGATTTGCAACGTTTTCCTTTTTATACTATAAATTTATAGTTTCCATGTATATTTGTTGTCATCGGGACCAGATGAATTTTTAAATGTAACACGATTTACTTCTTGTAATATTTATATCTTGCTGGCCGCATTGGCCCCTGCAGACAAGTGTGCTCTTACTTATATTAACGACTAATAGTAGACATAGAATATTCGAATATATGGTTTATTGGTATAGGTCAAGTTGTAAAAGAACCTAGGCCAAACGACTCTGGGTTTAAATCTTTTTACTCTTCATAATCATAAATAGTCTTTGCATCATCGTATTTGGCTATATTTTAGAGAAAACTGGTAGTTGTTTAGAATACTGTCATTAGTCTCACATTCTACTCTCTTGACCCCTGTCAATAAAGACAGGAAAAATACAAGATAGTCATCGGTTAATGTCTATTTGTGCTTGTTCATTACCGCTAATTTGGTATATATTCAATTTTGTTAGACTGATCATTGTTTCTATTCTTATCTAAAATCACATATACTTGGTAAATATTAAACTGTAAACTATTTTGAATAAAAACATTTGTGTACATTTCAGTTGTTCAATATACAATGAGTTATTTATTTTATGCATTTTTGTGACTATAATAGTAACACAATTTTTAAATACATTCTTTCAAATTATCCCTAATAATTTTTGGAAAAATTTATCTTTAGTCGTTATTGTATGACTTTCCAGTTCATAAGTGTATATAAAATATATAGAAGGATCTTTAAATACGTAATATAGCTGCAGGTATCTAAAGAATTGTTCTGTAATCATTTAATCCAAAATCGTCTAGCAAATTTTCTTTCTCGCAACTTCAACAAATGAAATAAGAGGAAGAGTACAAGGCCCCCTAAGATTAACATGATCAAGTACATGTACATATTTTTTTTGCATGTAAATATGAACTATTATTATTTACTAATGGAAAATTTTTGTATTGCATTTAGTTAGGTACTTGATTAATAGTGATCGTTAATGTATTTATACATTTGTTAAAAAAGAACAACGTAGAAAATATAGGACCAATATTTTTCTACAATTTTGTTAAAAAAACATTGCCATTAACTCTGTTAAGGCATGTCTGTTCAGATAATTATTCTTTATTTAAAAAAATAGGTACAGATATTTATTTATGTTAAGTTGTACATTTGTACTTTTTAAAATATACTTATTTAAAAACTGTTATACCTATTTTATTTTTCCATGCCCAATTGTTTGTAGTTTCCGAAAATATGTTACCGTATTTCAATAAACACTTTGTGTTTAGTTCATGGTAGGTATTCATTTAATTTGGTGTCTAGCATAATTTATTTTCCCAGAAGAAAATAAAATGAAAATATTTATGTCAAAAAGATTTTTTAGATGCAACAACGATTTATGGGTAGCTCGTAGATATAAATATTTTTTAATTGTAGCTTTGAAATTAATCAGTGTAAGAATTTGTTCTAATTAGATTATATTGAGTAAAATTTAAAAAGAAGTCCACTTTACCATATCAAAAACAGGTTTTGAGTAAGTATAGGTATTACACAAAATGTACGTATAGCAGTTTTTTTCATTTTTAATATTTGCTTTTGTAGGTACTTTAACTTTACTTTAAATAGTATTAGGCTAATTCAAATTTATCAATTAATAATAATTAAGGAAACAACTATTCTGCGTGCTCACGATATCAAGTAAACGTATTATTTCACCCATAGTAATAATAATTATCTAAAAAAATAAAAATAATCAATCCAAACATTATAAAATATATCTTCCTTGCAAGTACCAGGTAGAATTCAATTGAGACAGATTGCTACTTGAATGATCAAATTTGTATTTTTAGATTTAAATTCTTACTCATTTTGTGCATCTTTCTCCATTTTTCAATTTCAATCCCCATAATGTTTCCGCAATTTTGAATTTAAGAATTTCCGAATTAAAACTTTATTCGTGATTAGGATAACTACCGAGTAACAAGTTTCCGCCATAATCTTTAAATTTTGAATGTTTTTGCTATTTTACATCCGCCATATTGGATCCGCCATCTTTTTTTTTTGGGAAATTTTCGGATTTCGTAATCAGTGACCCCAACAACCAGGGGGAACAAAATTCAGGCAAAAATATTAAATCAATTGTTATACATTAAATGTAATCATGTCAGTCGACAAAAAATATTTGCTAAGCATTTATCAAACACATTCAAACCAAAGCGACTGTTCAAACCAAACACACGAAAATTAAGATGGTGACATTTTGATAATGAAACGTAGGGCCTATACTGTTTTTTAGGAATTGATTTCCAAGGAATTGATTTCGTGATAAAAAAATTTGCGAAATAATGAATTAAAGTAGGAGGGCGACCCTGAGATCTCGAAAAAGGTTACACATTATATTTTATTTGATGATGAAATAGAAATCAAACCTTTAAAAGAGATACGATGAGTATAATGTGTTGCCTATATTATAGTTCAATATTCAACGTTCCAGGCGGTTTCAAATGCAAGTAAAGTCAAACTGGACATTTCAATCTATTTCAGTTATTTTTAAAAAATTAAAAATAAAAGTTGATCCAATTTATATAATGTTTTTATTCAATTTTTCCTAAATCTGTACAGGAGAAACAGGGGATATACTCTGCCAGAATTTAATGGTAAATTTCACAAGTCAATAAAAAAAGTTTCTATAAACTTTTATCCGGAAGTGCTTCGTTTTTGAAATACAGGGTGTTTAAATTAAAATAACTCACATTAATTTAAATATCTCTTAAGACCCTTGATGTAAATTAATAACAGTTGCGTTAATGACGTGACTAATTATTAGAAAAAAATTGATGACTCGTTACACAAATCTGTCAAGCAGTGTCTGGGAAACACCATTATTAAGAACCCTAGAATGGCGCCGCTCCATCTTGGAAATTGGAGAATGATATATGTCTAAATATAATTAATACAATAACACATACTTGTTATATTGATATTGTTATACAGAATGTATCCCAATCTACGTCAAACAACTTCAGAGAATTGAAAAAATGTGATATTTTTCAAAAACTTTAACACCCTCTATCTTGGAAACCAGTAACTTTAGGGCCCTGGTTTATTAAGGCTTTTGGGTCTAAAGTGACCTAAGAAATCACCCCCTTAATTTATGACATAGACTTAGAATACACCCTGAATAATGTTACCATTGCACAAGGGAGGCTGCCTGATGAAACAATCTCAAGTACGAGGAAACAAAAATATTTCTTTGTAGTAGCTGTTTTTTTATGTGTGCATCTTTGTCATATCATTCATCATATCATTTGTTTATTGGTTTTCTGAAGTATAATTCAGTGCTAGTTGGGGCTAGCTCATGTTGTAGTTGATTTCCACAATACCACCTGTTAATAATCTTGTATGTGGGGCCAGATATCTTTTGCACACCTAGCTTTCTGGTATGAAAGTTGTTTGACATCATTTAATAAGAATTATTAGAAAAAATTCTTTGAATTTATTTGATTTAGCTTGATATATTTAAAATAGAATAAACATTCTTTCAGTTTATGCGAAAACAAGCCAATAGTAATCCTCTAAAAAATTGAATACTGTAAACTTTTTTTTACTTTTAGGAATTATACCTACTCTATTTAAAATAGTATTTCTAATTAAATAATTCTATCTTTTTTTGTGAAACGAATAGTTTTGGATTATTGTCGATTTATTCAAATATATCCTAGGTTATTAATAATAATTCTCAGTATCTCCGTCACTGATGTGCAGATCTGTGCGCCAGCTCAACAAATTCTCGATCTTAAATATATTTTTAACAGACTTCAACACCCTATATCTGCAACCTGGTGCATCAAAACATGAAATGCAATTTTTGTTTTGCAAATGACAAAAGACGTCAGTTAATTTGCTTTAAGTATAAAAAGTTGATAGTCATCAATGAACCTTATTATTTAATATTTGCTGCAAACTGAAAACTCATACAAGAAATGCACGTTTCATGGAATTTGCAACTTTTCACCTTCATGCAACCACTATTACACACAGAAAATATTCCTTGACATACCTACTGATATATTCATACATAATGCACATTATGCAAATATCTAAATCAAAATATTTATGAATAATTTCAATTACTTTAAAATATCTAAAATTAATATACCTACCTGAAAACGGTTTAACTCTTTGGTTATACAATATTTTTTTGTAAGAATACATAATAATACATCGCAGAAGTTTCTACTAAATGTTAAAATACTATTACCAGTTTATCAACTTTAATTTTTTCTTACCCCAGTAAGCTCGGAAAGAAAAAAGATCTAATATTATCATCTTTGTCATATCGGTAAGTCGGTGTCTGCATGACCTTTTCTTTTAGAATCAAATCAAATCGAGTTCAAATTCCGGGTAGTCGCTGAATGCGAGAGAGTTTTTTTTTTAGAGGTCTCCATGGAGCAGCCCTCGGCACACCCCATGCAAAAATTGTAGCTACGCCCATGGGACGATCAAAAACCAAATCGATCAGATGATCAGAAGTTTATTTTTATTTTAAAAAAATAGTGTTATTAAGATTTTTTATCAGTCTTTTTTCTATTAAGAATTATTTAGTTCAATAATAATATTACTATTTGAGTGTATACAGTCAAAACTACGCCACTGGTTCAAATTATGTTTCATAGGTTGGTGTCTACTATTTATAAATTTCTGATCCGAAGTATTTCTTATTTTGATATTGCTTATAAATACTATAACACTTTGAATGTGCATTGGACCTATACCGATAATAGAAACGGTAATTTAAAAATTTTATGTTAAAATTCCATTAACATTTTTAACAGCTTAATAACACAGGAAATGAGTTACTACAGGAATAGATAATAGGAAAAATTATTTACATATTTTTCCTTTACTTAGGTACATTAAATTTCATATTTTTGAAAAGATATTTATTACCCTAATTGTCAATCTTTTATCAGAATATCTGTTTTGGTTTATCTTTAATAATGACCATTATTTGAAAATAGAACAAACAATAAAAAATCGTGTAGGTGTATAAAGTGCCAGAAAATAATCAATAAAACCATCATTTTTTGTAAAACAATAAAAACATAAAACAATATCGATTTATTATTTTTGATTTTGCTTTCTTAATAAACACTGATACTGAACAAAATAATACAATTAAGGCCATCCAATAAAGTCTAGCCAACCTAATAAAGGTTATTTTTAGTAATACTTATTTTTTAATAACTTGATAACAAAAATAAAAGTGACCATTCGAAGAAACAAATTCTCGGCAAGCCTATGTAAAATAGAAAATATGTCAGAAAGAGGAAGAACTTTGTTACCCGATTTTGAACTTGTTTTTATATCCTTGTTATTTTAGAATATTATTTAACCAGCAGTGTTTCACAAAAAATATTTTTTTCAATTATCATCACTCCATGATGCTCACAATAAAAAATTTAGATTTTTCGAAGGGCAAAAACTATCGATATTTTTTTATCAGGTAGGTAACTACAACAGGATGGGTACTGTATAATTAATTTTTTATGAGTCTTCCATAGTCAAAAACCTGTATAAAATTTTTGGATTGATAATTCAATTGGTTTAGAAAATATTAAAGCATTGTCAACAGGTCACACTCAAGCTGCTATAGCTATAGCTCCATAAGGAATCGGAATAGACTTCAAGTTTATTTAAACTTTTGTAATTCTGGACAAAGAACGCACTGTAAACGTTTGTCAGTGGAAAATAAGATACACCTCGTATAGTAAGGATCTTAATATTCACTGCTTACTTTTTATAGTAGTTATTTTATTTCTGTTCAGGTTATTTGCACATTATATAAGAAATAGTTTTAGTTAAAATTAGCCCATGAATCTCGCATTTGTAATATCTGAAATTATTCTCATATAAATGATTCTCTTCAGTTGCTAAGAGAAGAAAAGCAAATAAACAAGCGACTGTGGACTCGACGCTGACAGAATATTACAGCTTCAACATACTCATTCACTTGCATCATTTGACAGTGGAATCTTCAGTCAAATTTGATTTATACTCGGAAAATTTAATTTTCTTTCATAATTCCAGAAATTCTAAAAAATGTAGGTAATAAAGGGACGTAAAATCAAAAACAAGTATCAAAAAAGGAACGCACATTTCT